GTCTTGTATTTTATCAGATCTTTTTATTATATCTAGTTGTTGATAATTTAGTATTTCTCATTTAATTTGCTAATGTGATGACTTATTTTATAGCTCTTTTTGGTGTTGAATCACCTTCCATTCCTAGGATACGTCTTACTCTGTATTGATATGCTATATGTATGAGTGTGTGTGTAAATTTATTGCTGGATCTGAATTGGTAATATTTTATTTAAAATTTTTCAATCAATGTTTATAACTGACACAGGGCTGTAATTTTCCATTCTCCAGTTGTCCTTGCCTGTTTTTGCCTTAAGTTTATAATAGCGTCATAGAATGAGTTGGGTAGCTTTCTATCTTTTTCCTTTTTTTAATTTCACTTATTTTTTTTTATTTTATTGAGGCTGCATTGGTTTATAACATTTTGGAAATTGCAGGTGTACATAATTTTTATGAAAATAAATACATGTACATAATTTAAAAAGTAAAATAACACTATAAAGGCCAAAAAGAAAACAGCCCTCTGCTATGTCCCCACTTTTGATTCCTGCTTCCTAAAGCAAGGATCAGCAAACTTTTTCTATAAAGAACAAAGTGAAAAAAAAAAGTTGGGGGGAGAGTGCCAGCCCCGTGGCTGAGTGCTTAAGTTCGCACACTCCTCTCCAGCAACCCTGGGGTCCACCGGTTTGGATCCTGGGCGCAGACCTACATACTGCTCATCAAAGCTATGCTGTGGAGGCATCCCACAAGGAGGAGCTAGAATGACTTGTGACTAGGATATGCAACTATGTCCTGAGGGGCTTTGGGGAGAAAAAAAAAAGAGAGAACAAAGTATGAAATGATTTAGGCTTTCTGAGCCATCAGGTCTCTATCACAACTACTCAACTCTGCTGTTATGTCCCAAAAGCAGCCGTGGACAACACCTAATGCATGAGCATGGCTTTTTTTAAACAAAGACAAGCAGCAGTAGGATTTGGCCCCTGCTCTTGAGGCAGTTGCTCATATTTCCTTTCATTATTTCCTCTGATATTACTTTTATATCTCCAAATAAAATTTCTATACTGCTATTCTTTATTCATTTTTGTTTTAAATAGTATTTATCAACTTGGTATTATGAAGATGATAATTTCATTCTTTACCATTTCTGCTACAAAATACAAACACCTCTCTTCTCATATTTTTAACACTCATTTTTTTAATAAAGATTTTTACATTTTTTTCCTTTTTCTCCCCAAAGCCCCCCAGTACATAGTTGTATATTCTTCGTTGTGGGTCCTTCTAGTTGTGGCATATGGGACACTGCCTCAGTGTGGCTCGATGATCAGTGCCATGTCTGCGCCCAGGATTTGAACCAACGAAACACTGGGCCGCCTGCAGCAGAGCGCGCGAACTTAACCACTCGGCCACGGGGCCAGCCCCAACACTCATTTTTTTTTAAAGATTTTATTTTATTTTTATTTTTCCTTTTTCTCCCCAAAACCCCCCAATACATAGTTGTGTATTTTTAGTTGTGGGTCCCTCTAGTTGTGGCATGTGGGATGCTGCCTCAGCATGGCTTGATGAGCAGTGCTGTGTCTGCACCCAGGATTCGAACTGGCAAAACCCTGGGCCGCCTGAAGTGGAGTGGTGAACTTAACCACTCGGCTACGGGGCCGGCCCCCCTTATTAACACTCTTTAGGTTAAATTAATATTCAGGCCTCTCTTTACTATGAATAGGTAAATATTAATACAGGTGAGTCTTGTGATATATGATTACATTTTTTTCTTCTACAACTACCTCCTGTGTGCTTCTTGCCTTGTACTAATAAATTGCTTCTTTTTCTGCTAAATTAGTTTTCAATGCACCTATTGCACATTGCCTCTGTTTTTTCTGAGTCCTTTTTCTTCCTCCTATATATTTGTTTGGTTACTTTAGTCTCTGCTTCTATTGGATGTTTTTCATCATTAACAGATTGACATTAAAATTTGAAGTGGAGGTTCTAAATGCTTGTGTGGACCATGCCAACGGAGAACCAGTCATTTCATTGGAGGAGTCTCCTATATCTATATTAATAAATCTTTTGTCTTTGATTGGAAGTTGATTTTCCCACAGAAGAATTCTCTATTCTCTTGACTGTAGAGATAAGCTTGACTACCAGTAGTGTGGATTTTGAATCCAGAGTCTCTGTGCTTCAACCTCTCTGGGCAATGACCCTCTAGTCTCCCATCATGATGAAGAAAGAGTAGTCACTTGAGTGCTTAATGAGAGGGAAAGAATTTGGGTACTTAATTTTTCTTTATAAGGACTTTGGACCAAGCCCTGCCTGACCCCCCAACCTTCACATGTACCAAACACTTCCAGTGTTTTGTGTCTCTGGGATTTTTGTGGAGGGAATTTTAAGTTGAGTACTTAGCACGTTTTTTTCAGGCTTCTTTTCTAATATATGCACATGAGGCTAAATTTTAACTTCTCTATTTACTGCTTTTTCTGTATGCCACAAGCTCTGATATGTAGTGCTGAATTAATTTTTCAATTCTAGATATTTTCTAATATCCATTATTATTTCTTCTTTGATGCATGAAAAATTAAGAAGAATGTGTAAAAATTTGGTACATAGAAAGTGCTCAGAAGTTGCTAGCTATTATTGTAGTTGTTGTTACCATTACCTCCTGGGTGCTATTTCTTGTGATGCATTTTGAGTAAATAATTAATAATTAAGTGTTAAATAGGTGAAGCCAAGATTTTCTGCACTGTGTACTTCCAAAAACCTTTGATTCTCCAAATCACATGCTGCCTTGATAAATAAGGCTGGAAAACATTAAAAAATAATGCATGGATAGGGAATGGTAAGATATAGTGTACTTTTTGCCTGTAGTGTTATAGAGAAAGTGTGATCTTAATGGTCAGAACACCAAAGATTTAAGTCTCAGCTCTACCAGTTAATAGATCTGGGATTTGAGGGAGGAGGGGGCAAGCCAATTAGCCTTTATTAGCTTCAATTTCCCCATGTATAAAATTGGTCTAAAGTAAACAACTTTTATTTATGGATGGAAAAGCTAAATAATATAGCATATTTAAAACACCTGGGAAATTTTCCTGCTGCATAGTAGGATATTAACAGTCAATAAATGTTTCACTTTCTCATTTCTTTATTCTAGCTTCACATATGCACATTATTTCTGTGTTAGATTTTCCCCTGCATTTAGCATTGATCTAGATCCTAAAAGTGCAGTATGGCTTACAGGTTCACTGGAAATGGGTCTGATACTGGGAATCTCAAAAGAAAAAAGGCGGATTAAGCCCTGTGAGGTTCAAAGGTCATTTGTCCCCTTGATATTGATTTTCTTAAATCAGATAATAGCCAAGACCCTGGGAGAAATAATTGAACTCACAACGAGCAGGTCCAAGTTATTAATAATGGAATAGCCTTGGTCATTCTTAATGACTTAATTTAATGACAGAAGGAAAGGCTGAAACTGAAATGCCGGGAAATGGAGTCAATGGCTGGGTCTCTGAGAGAAAGGAAAACGTGAGTTATTCCTAAGAGTTTATTTCATAGAACGAAACATTTTATGGTAGTCCCAAATATGTGGCCAGAAGAAATGGTTTGGATTTTCTCTTTTTAAGAAAAGAAAATTTTAAAGGCTTGGAAAAAATTAGTGTTATATTTATTTTTGCCTTTATTTTGGCAAATAGACTTGGTTAGAGTTATGAACTTTTGGCACCTTAGTGAGTAATTCAAGGCTAGAGATCATGGACATCTTATCTTACTTATCTTTTTTATCCCACGGATTCAAATATCAACTCTATCTATTAATTGCATGACTTTGGACAAGTTATTTAACCTCTCTGAGCCTCAGTTCCCACATCTGTAAAATGGAGATGTTAGTATCCTTTTTGTTTATAGTTACAGGAGAATATTTTTTTTAAATTTTAAGTGTATAAAATTCTTGGCACTTGATATTATATAGTACCTCACATAATAAATGTTTGTTGAATGAAATAATACACGAATTTTGATGCTTCCCTCTCTTTTACTGCCTCTAGATAAAAAAGTTGGCTATGGTAATCTCTTGAAAACTTTCCCTTTTCTCCAACTATTCTGGCTGCCTTTGCTCTGGTCCTCATCTTCTCTCCTTTGGACTATTTCAGTGGTTATTTAGTGTCTTTTAACCCCAATTCTTCTCTCTTTCCCAATCTCTCCTCCTCACTTGTGACAAAATTGTTTACTAGAACAAAGGCCTGGTCTCTTTTAACTATATTGCCCTCTTGGAAGGGCTATAGTCATCTAGAACACCCCACTCCCCCATTTTAAAGGTGAGACTCAGAGAGGGAAGGGACTTACCCAAGCACCTATGCCCCTATAAGTTGATGCTGAGATTAAGGTTGAGCCCAGTACGCCTGGCCCCTAGCAGAGGACAAAGAGGGTGCAGAAAAGAACATACATCTGCCAGTTCTAGCCAAAGGGGTCCTGACCAGTTGCAAAATTTTTTAATTTCAACTTTGCACTTAGTTATTGTCTTTAGTTTTGTTGAATTTCAAATGCACTACTGTCACTCTAATGATAATACTTATTCATTTCCATGAAAATTCCAGGTCAGCCTAAAGAGAGTATAGTTAATAATAGCTAAAACTTTACATAGCATTTGCTATATACCAAGTGTGGTTCCAAACACTGTACATATATTAACTTATTTTATTATCATCAGTAACCCTAGGTACTATAATTATCCCCATTTTTCAGATGAGGAAACTGAGGCACAGAAAGTTTAGTAGCTTGACAGGGTCACACAGCTTGAGAATGTAGAGTGGGATTAAAACTCAGGCTTCCAGGTTCCGGAGTCTGTGCTTTTAACCACTACACTAAGCTGGCATGAACACATTGAATTTCTGTGGGCACCGTTTATCCTCACTATGCTGTTGGCAGCTAGTCCATATGAATTCCTTTAACCCTGCTTATTGTTTCCAGTCCTAATGATCAGGAAGTGGCAACCTACATAGCATAGTCTTCTGACAAACTTCTCCCTCATTCTTTTTCAGAGAGTCATTTTCAACATTGTTAACTTCAGCAAAACCAAGAGTCTTTATAGAGATGGGATGGCCCCTATGGTGAAATCTACCAGCAGACCGAAATGGTAAGTGACCCACAGAATGGGACCTCCTTTTGGTTGGAGAATTTGACTCAGGGCTCAAGTGTATGCTGTATGGCTAGGGCTTACCCTCACTGGCGCTGAGAAGAATAAGATGAGTTTCTGGATGGCCACTCGCTGAGCTCTAGGTACTGTTCTTTGGGAATGTTGGGTTAGGGAACATGGTCTCACATTTGGAGTGACCAACATTCCATTATAAGGGAAGGTATATTCTGTTATTTGGAAAACTTCCTGTCCTGTTTGCCTTTTATCATGGTATCTTTGGAAGCATAATTAAAGTTGATTCTATGAGTGTTTTTCTAGCCTAAGCATAGAAATGTTGTGCAGTAACCTAGGAGGACATTGGGAGTGACAGTTCCGTAGATTTCCCTTGCTTTGCTTAGTTTTTGTGTCGTTTTTGTATAGAGGTTGTGTATTTTTGTGGATGTTAAAGTTCTATTTGTCCCATTGCTATAGTGAGGATGAGGAGAATTGGATAGGATTGCTTAATAATAGTGGTGATGATGATGATAACTATTCTCACTCACCAAGAGCCCATTCCTTGTCAGATGTTTTACATTTGCTGTTACTATTCTCACATTTTTGCAAGGGAGATTTTAAATATCCCTGTATTACAGAGGCAGAAATTGAGGCCGGGAGAGGTGAAGTACTTTCTCAAGACCAGGGGTAGTAGGGGGACGAGCCTGTGTTATTTTTATATCCCACACTGCCATTTACACCAATTAATTTGTTCATCCATCCCTTCATTTATTCATTCACCAAACATTGATTGAGTGCACCAAAACGAGTTTTTAAAGACAGAAACCAAGTGTTATTCATTGATCACACAGTAGGTGTGAATGCTTATTGAACTGAACTGAATTTCTTATGAGAATTTACATGCAAAGTGCCTGGCACTTGCTAAGTGCTCAATAAATGCCATCTATTATTAATAGTATTATGTAAAACACTGTACAAATGCAAGGAATTGTTAATATTATTCTAGCTTTGATCCCTGTTCAAATTTTAATGACTAGTGAGAAGATCATCTCTAAATGTCTATATTTATAGAAAACTAGCAATTCATAAATATTGAATTGTGCTTTTATCTACAAATGATCCCTGGCAATTTTCTATAAATGCTGGGCTGAGAAACTCAGTTTTGTAAAAATGTTGGCATTTGATGATGATAATGAAAACTGTTTATTAAAAGATAAAAATATCTTCCTGGACCTATGTTTTGCTTTGCTGCGTTGTTGATTTCCTTTTGACAGTGAGATCTGAGTAAGGAGTAGGTCTTTACTTTGAGTCTCTGAACTCAGCCTGACTGGATGATAATAGAGCACAGCTCTCTGTTAATAGGCACATGTGTAGATGTGTACTTCAAACATTGCCGACAAAAGGACGCCGCTGTTGATCTGCTCATGAGGGCCTTCAGAATTACATTGTACTTCTTTTGCCAGGCTCTGTGTTGGGATCTTATGCAGCAACCATAATCGCCACCCCTTTTTCCAAAGTGTTCAGTTGTGGAGTCTTTTGTGTGTGTTTTTGTGTGTGTTGTTGAAAATCCTTAAGCCTTAATTATTTTGTTTTGTTTTGTTTCTCATGGACTCTCATTTGGGTCCTCTCTGTCAGGACTCTTGACTAGATTTTGAAAAATTAATGAGTCCTTGCATTTATATTATAATGCCTTAGAATTAAGTTAGTGCTCTTATCTAATGCTGGCAGGCTCTCAGCAGCAGCCATTATCCAGTCACTGGGCTTCTCTAACGGTCTGAAAGAGTTTAAAGTTTCAGAACTGAGTTTGTTGTAGTTCATCAGGCCAGTAAGGCACAGGGTACCTGAGCAAACCAAGTTGTTGATATGTTTACTCTCTCCTATTTTTTTATCTTACCATCCCCAGACCTTGGATGCAAAGCTGCTTACATTCCTTCTTAGTCCTCTTTCCTCAACCCAGACGTTTAGATATTTGATTACTTAATAGAATTCAATTTAGCACCTTAATGTGCCATGCAGTATTCTAAATATTGAGGATACAGTATGAATATGACAGAAAAGATCTATTCCCAAGTGGAACTTTCATTTCAGAATTTTATGAGCTGATCTCTGTAGATCATAATTGTTACGTTCCCTGCTACTGATTTGTTCTAAAGAGTCTTTCTGCCCCTTTGGTGATTTCTGCCGAGACTTTTCTTCTATTCCTTGTGTCAGTTACCTGGACTAGAACCTACCTTCCAGTAATCATTTTCCTAAATGTTCCCAGGGTAACATAAACAAGTATATGTGACTGTTTGGCTCTAGGAATATTAGATTTTACTGACCCTAAGAAGTTCATCACATTTTGGATTCTAGACAATGGCCAGACTCAAATTTAACAAATACCTTTTAGATCTCAATATTAGAATATCTTTTCTACTGTCTTCCTAATTCCAGTTTCCCCAATGCCAAGGCGACCACATAACAGAAGAAGTAGCTGATACTTTTCTTGTCTAGGGGCTTTGCCTCCTTTAATATTCCAAATAGGCACTGAAAAATTCTTACCTCATGACAAACATTAAAAACCCTAAATTTCCCAGCTTAAATATATACCAGATTGGGAAAACAAACTTTTTTCACCTTTTCAAGGTGAAATAAACATTCTTCTTTATGTGTTGTAGGGGGCTGTAACTGATTCCAAGCAAAGATGCCTTCAGGCCTTAGCATAGGTCTGGCAATCAATTAGTTGTGGAAAGCAATGAGCAAAAGAAGCAACTAAAAAGCCATTATGCAAATATATGGCCATTCAAGGCTGTTTTGCCTTGAGGAGATAAAATCAGAATACCTAGCAGCAAAATGGAGAAGCTGGAAGATTCAGAAGTTTTCTGCCTATTTTAATTCACTCTAATTCTGTTAGACTTTTTAGACACCTTAGACTTTTTAAGGATTGTTTGTTGCTAGGAATCTGTAGCATCAAGTTCCTGCAATCATAACTCATTAATATTTTTTAATTTTGTCAAAGGCTGAAATTCCTATGTGCTAGGCACTGCTGGGGACTGGCATTACAAAAAACTGATATCTATATTCTCACTCATGCAGAAACTAAGCCTAGGATATTTACACAACTAGTAAGTGGTGGCATTAGCGAGAGACCTCAGGACTCCCAAGTTTACTGTTCTCGTATTCCATGCAGGAAGAGGGTGGAGGAAGGAGGCACAGAGAGGCAGGAAGTAGCATGCTGCTGTTTGGCCTTTGGTAGATGTGAAATAACTTCTCTAATTGACTTGTCTGTTATAGTAGATTGAGGAGATTGAACTAAATCTTGGAGGTGGCTTCCATTTAATACATTTTTATTGAACATCCAACTTTGTGCTAGGTCCTGGGGTGATAAATATGAACCTGGTCTGGATTATACTTTAAAGTTTTATTTTTTAGATGTTTAAATGAAATACAAACATAAATAGGTGTAATATAAGGAGTATGGTGCTAAGAACCATTAGGGAGGTATATGAAGTCTGCTGTGGGATTAGTGAAGAGGAAGAAAATGATACTATTAGGACTGTAGGGAGAAAAGAAGCAGCTTTGGGGGCAGGTGGTATTTCAGCTAGATCTCAAGGAAATAAAACAGAAACAAAAGTAAGGAAATAGGATTCCCAATGGAAGCTATAACATGATGAGCCGTAACACTTCTTTTATGAACCTTGGTTTCCTTACTGTAAAAAGTGCATAATGATACTTTCTCATATAGTTGTTATAAGAAATAAATGTAAAATGGATGTGTAAATACTTTTTAAAGTCTCAAAGATCTCATTAATTCAATAAATTTCATGATCATTTCTTTTCTTTTCCGCTGATTCACCCAAGACTTGATTGGGTGAGCCTTCCTTCCATCCCCTTTTCTTTCCCTCCCTTTCTTTTCTCCCTCCCTTCCTTCCTTCTGCTTGTCAATAAATGCTTACTGAAAAGTTACAGTGAACCCAGAATTATGCAAGGTATTAGAACAAAACAAGAGAGATGTGATTACTGTTCTCATAGAGCGCATAGTCTACTGGGCTAGACGTTAAATATGTAACTCTAGTTAAGTGTGATGACTGTTAAAACAGGGGAAATTCAGCATGCTGTGGAAACTATTCAGCACTCTATATAGCATTTAAGGCTTCATTTGTTCCAAGGATGAGAGACTTTCCTTAGGCATATTATTTATACTGAGAGCTGAAAAATGAATAGCAGTTAGATCATAGCAGGTGGGGATATGTGTGAAGTAATAGAACATATCTGAAGGTCAAGAGATGAGAGAGAACATTACATCTTTGATGAGCAAAGCCTAATGTGATTGGAGCATGAAATTCTAAGGAGAAATCTACTGGAGAGGTAGGTAGGAGTGAAATTGAGGTAAGCCTTGAAGCCAAGCTAAAGAGTTGGACTTGATTCTGAGGGCAGTGTAAAGAAATTGAAGGGATTAACCAGGAGTAGGACATGATCCGATTGGCATTTTAGAAAGAACAAGACTGTTCTTGTTGCTGAATAGGGAATATCTTGGAGAGGAGGACAATTGTTTAGAGGTTTTTGTAATACCTTAAGCTATAGCTGATGATGGATTAGGGTGGCAATAATAGCCATGAAAACAAGTGCATGGATATGAGGGTTAACAGAAGATTGAATCAACTTAACAGTGACTGACTAGATGTGGATGATAAAGGAGAGGGGGAATCCTGGATGATTCCCAAGTTTTCTGGCATGGGCAACAGAAGCGATGGTGGTGCCATTGCTAAAGATAGGGACCATAAGAGGAGAGACAGTTTTGGTAGATTTTGTTGGATAGGGGAGATGATGAGATGGCCTTGGAAACATTTTGTTAGAAGTGCCTGAGAGACATGCAAGCAGAGACATCAAGTAGGCAATAGAGTATTTTGCTAAGAGACTCAAGAGAGGAATCTGGAGGTGCAGATTCTGGAGTCAATCCTACAGATGATAACCAGAACAGTAGGCACAGATATGATTCCCAGGGAGGTCACATGGAGTGAAGAGAG